CACAATTCACATGTGCCTGTTTTTCTGTGGCATCCTTATTTCGTATCCACCTGTCACATGTGGATGAGGCCACTAAAAATACCATGGTGTAGGTCAAGTGCAACTCAGTTCTCCAAGTAACATCCTAGCTTTTCAATACTCTGAAGAGGTCTTGTGCACCAGATTTACCCAGTGCACCTCATCGTTTGATCTCTTGACTGCTGTTTCCATGAGCATTGATTGTGGATCCAAGCAAGACAGTATCCTTGACAACTTCTCTATTTATCTTGATGTTACCTGTTGGTCCAGTTGTGAGGATTTTAGTCTTTTTTATACTGAGGGGCTGTACATCCTTACAGGAGCTGACGGCCTCATCTGCCTCCCAAAGAGTGACCGGTGGACTGGAACCAGCAACCACACACACGTAGTTCCCAATCCAATTCTTACACTGCCAGGCCACCAAACCAGAAACCCAAATTCACTGTCTAAGTTGATGCAGATTCACGGTGCATCAGCTGCCCCTGTAGTTTTCTGAGACTAACTCTTTATGGGAGTAGGAAACCCTGCCCTTCTCCTGAGGAGCAGCTGGTAGTTTCAAACTCTGACCCTGCGCTTAGCAGCCAAACCTGTAACCCCTATGTCACTAGGGTGCCATACAGGGCCACCAGTTAGGTGTCATCCTATTAAAAGGCAAGGGCATTTTGTACTACTGCCTCAAAGGGTTATACGTATATTAACAATTACTTTGTGTTTGTACCGGTTAATGGACCTAGTTACCTAGGCTACCTTACCTCAGGAGAAATTGCCCTTGTAGTCCTGGGCGGACCTTGGTCTGGGAGCCCTGCCACAGCTGGCCAGAACAGGAAAGGCTCACCCAGAGACGGTGCCCGACAGGCCAGTAGAAACCCGGAGCATGAAGGCTCAGAGTCCGGGCCAGACTTCCCATAGGCTTTCTTGTGTTGACTGACTCATCTGTTGTGAACAATTTCACGTTAGACATGGTGCTGGCATCGGTTGCTCTCCGCAGCATCACCCTACAAAACCAACGTTTCTTTTCAAATCTACAACCCCTGACAGTAAACCAGGTAATCATGAATGTACTTGTGCTTACTTACTAATCTGTGGTAAACAGAATAAAGGTGTGAATACTGGGGCAACTGTTCATGACAGATTAGTAAGTAAGCACAAGTAAACCCCTGCTCACCTTGCTTCGGGGGGACTCCATTCCAGTGAGAACACTAGCTAAACGTTGGGAACCCTCAGCCCTGCCCTGTGTGCCTATTCATTGTGTCAGACCCTTTAGGCCTTTGATAAATAAACCTGCCCTGAACGGGGTGTATAGTCTCTGTGAGTGTTGTAAACTGTTCAGGGACTCGTCGAACCCGTAGGTGGGTCAGAGCCCGCAGGTCAGCAGTGAAGGATGTCCTGTGAACGTCCAGCTCACAGCTGGTATTCTGAAGGAGTGGGGTGTAGAAAGCCTGCCCTGAACCTGGCTGGTCAGTGTAGATCGGGGTGTCATGTGGATGCCCCAAAGTCGTGGCTGACATCTGCCGACTTGACACTTTGAAGGACCGGTGGCTCTGCCCACCTCTGCGTGGCTGGACGCAGAACAGACTGCTTGGTGGCTGGGGATGGAGAAGTGGAAGGTGGAGGCCGCATCAATCTCAGCAACACAACGAGCCATCCCAATTTGGAGGAGAAATTTTTAATATTTCAGTGGCTGTGTTGCAACAGAAACTCGTGGGACACCCTTTCTCTGGGCTTGCAAGCATCGTTTAACACTCCCTTGAAGATGTTTGCAAGCACACGTGCGGGGGAAACACGATTACGTGGCTTTTTGCTTTGCGCTTTTTTCGTTGTTTTTTAAATGAGAATCTCTATGCCGTTTGAAACACTGTTGTTCTGGCGCTGGGTTTTGTTAGCAAGTTCTCTAAGGTCTTTGAAAAGGAATGTTAACCTAATATACGATTCTTTGTCAGAACAGGTTTGATTCTTATTCCTTGTGCGCGGTTAAATACACAGCTGTTTCCAATAGTTTTTGATTACCCTGTAAGGGGCTTTCAAAAAAAAATCCATACCAGAAACAAGATCTAGCTTAATTCCCATCTTAGGCAGCCCCTTTCCCCCTTCCCACCCTCCCCCCACCCACCAAACGGTACCACGTGGCTTTGAACCATCTGGAAAAGGAATAAAACAATCAAGTAAATTGGTCAAATGCTGAGAAGCTGCCCTTCCCAGGGTGGGCAGTGGGCCTGCTGGGGGCAGGTCAAGGCCTCTGGTCAAGATTGGCTCTGCTGGTGGGAGACAGTGTCCACACAGCCCAGTCAGGCCTTGACAGGCCAGGCCGGTCAGCCACTGGCGGTCATGGGAAAGCCTGCCGGGTGTCCATCTCCCCCCACCCCCACTCCATTTGCAGTTTGCATGGGCAGGAGAGAGCCCACAGGAAACTCGGGTCCTCAGGGGCTGCGGGAGCTGGACCGGATTTCGGGCTGTTGAAGGGGGTTAGGTTTTCCCTGAAACAGGAAACAGCCCTCCTTTCTGTCACAGGGATTAACTGTTTCAATAACCATGTGCTTTTATGAGAAACATTCCTTTCTCAGCCCGGCCTCTACCTTGAACCTTGTGGCATTAGCATCTTTGCTTGCTCACACAGAAATGGGTCAGCGTGAGCCTGGTTCTTCTGCAGAGAAACCTGGGCGCTTTTGAGGGAAACAAAGAGTGTGTGGAAGGCTTCCTCCACAGCCTGCAGACAAGGAATGGCTTTGTCCGTGGTGGTGCTGCTCCTGTGGAAGCCCGGCAGAGAGCTGGCTGTCGGGGAGGGGGCTGGCAGCCAGGGAGGGGGCTGGCAGCCAGAGGACGTGCACAGCAGAACAGCAGCCTGGGCCGTGGGAGGAAGCGAGAGACCCCAGCTCTGTGGAGGGCATTGAGCAGGGGAACTCTGTCGCAAGGGACTCCCAGCCTGAGCCCTGGCAGCAGGTACTAGTCCCCAGCTCTGGAGAGCCTTGAGCCGGGGAGTCGGGGGGCGGAGAGAAGGAGGGGGGCTCTGTCACAAGGAGACACCAGCCTGAGGCTGAGAGGCACCCCTCCTCAGACGTGGCTTCTCCCATCACCACACTGACTTGGCTCCTAATGCCGGTGCACTCCTGGCCATGATTTATCTGTACTGAGACCCAGTTGGGGGTGGGGGTGGGGTGTCAGGAAAAGCTGAGTATTATGCAGAGGGTACACAGGCAGTGAACACAGAAGAGAAGCCTGCTGCATGTTTTATTGTTTTCAGCTAGGGTTCAGATATCGCGCTGTGCCGGGCAGGTTGCCCAAGGGACTCCACACAGACTTCTGTGCACAAACTATGTGCCCGTTGCTGAATGGCACTGGGGAAGGAGGATTCTGCCATGGCCCAAGCAGACCCTCCTGCTGCCTGCCCAGACCCACTGCAGAAGCCCACAGATGAGTGACACACGCCTGGCAAAGTCAAGCCACACGGGTGTGACCCAGGGCACACTCGGGTCCCGCAGAGTTGGAATAGGATTTGTTTTAGAGCCAAGTGCTGAGCACAGTGGATTCGAGAATGACCTCACCGGGTGTGACAGAGGCTCATCGTGGACAAACCAGGGAGGTGGGCCTCTGGGAGGAGGCTGACACATGCAGGCAAGCAGGTGTCACGTGGCTCAGGACCCCTCTATGTGGGGTCATCACTGTTAGGCCAGGACAGCTCGGACCCTGTGCCCCACACTGAGGAGCTGTGTCCAGGGTTCCTGCCGGGAGGAAGGCCGGGCAGCCCATGCCGAGAGTGGGTGTCCTGACAGCCTGTGGGGCATGCTTGGCTGGGAGGGGAGGCCACCACCAAGTCCAGCGGAGTCACCGGCATGAGAGGGCAGGGGAGGGAGGGGCCCTCAAATCGGTAGGGTGACAAAAGCAAGGTGTTGGGGCTTTTTCCTTTGGTTTTTGTTGTTTTTAGGCTTGAGTGACTTGGTCGTGGTGTAAGTTGTCTTGTTTTTTCAGTTTTAGTTTCATTGTTGGCTTCTTTCTAAGCTGGGGTGACTTGGAATGAGTGACTTGGTTACCCAGAAGGCAGCTGTCTAAGTGCAGGCAGGGGGTGGAGGGTATCATCGGCGAGTCATGTCCTAGAAGGTTCTAGACTCACTGATGTGGAATGATGGGGAAATGGCTGAGGCTAGAATGCGCATCTGGGGTACTGTGCATGATGGGGAGGGGTGGGGTGACGTGGAAGAGTAGAAGGCAGGGGCTGAACCTCTGGATGGCTAGAGTGGGGAGCTGACCAAAAGGTTCCTGTGCTGGAGAATGGGAATGAGTCTAAGACCCCTGCCCACGGACCATGCAGTGTTGGCAGGCAGCCACACGGGCACAGGTACATACAAGGAGTGAGCGGGGGTCAGCCAGCCAGCAGGGTCTGGATGTATGGCGTGATAGGGACTAGAGGGAGCCATGCAGGGTGCTGACAGATAAAGGAGTATGAACCAGCAGGGCCTGGGGGTGTGGGAGGAGCCCTGATAGCGTAGCTGTTGTGCATTGCACGGCTACATGCAAGGTCAGCAGTTCAAAACCACCAGACGCTCAGTGGGAGAAAGACAGAGCTTTCTACTCCTGTAGAGACTGACTGTCTCGGGAACTCACAGGGCAGTTCGACCCTGTCCGGAGTCGGGTCTGTGTGCGTCGGAATGGAGTTTGCTGGTGGTTTGTCTGTTTGGTTGCATTCAGTGGATAGGGTTCGATAGACGGGACAGCAGCGTCTACAGTAGAGTTCTTGTTAACATCCCTTACATTAGAGTGTCTGGCATTTTTGAGGAGGGAGATACGAGGTCTCAAATATATAAAGATCTGGACGCTCCCATGAAAAGTAGCCCACAAGACACTTTGAAGCAGGTGGCAGCTGCCTATGTGGGGCCAGAGGGGAGTGAAGGTGGGGATGTTTCCCACCGCCTCCTCCCAGTGTGCGTGCACACACACGTCCCGTGGAGGCTCCACGCCCGGCATCGTTGACCTGTGCTCTTCCCCCGCAGCTCTCGGGCGGCTGCGAGCTGACGGTGGTCATCCACGACTTCACAGCCTGCAACAGCAACGAGCTGACCATCCGCCGGGGCCAGACGGTGGAGGTTCTGGAGCGGCCCCACGACAAGCCCGACTGGTGCCTGGTGCGGACCACCGACCGCTCCCCCGCGGCAGAAGGCCTGGTCCCCTGCGGCTCCCTGTGCATTGCCCACTCTCGGAGCAGCATGGAAATGGAGGGGATCTTCAACCACAAAGGTAGGCGCCCCCCGCCTGCCACCCGAGGCCGGCTGCCTGAGTGACATGGGCTGGACCCTCCTTGGCGGCCACACTTTCAGCGCATGCTCCCTGGGTGTCTGTGAGCAGTTAGTCCATGGGGAGCCCAGGTGGTGGCTCCATGATAATCCACCAGCAGTGTGGGTTCAGAGACGGGAGGAGCGGGCATCCTTCATGGGGATTGAGGGGAGAGCGCCCCAGTTCACTGGGGAGAGTGAGACGGAGCCGTTTTCACCATCTTCCGGATCAGGTTTTCACGTGGTGGGCAGGAGGGGTGGTGGAGGCTTTTTGTTTGGCACAAGGTCTAGAAGAAGCACTCTCAGGCCGCCGGTCTGCCCTTCTATTTTCTTTAGTAGTGGAGACCAACGTGCCCAAACCCTGCAAGCTCCCTGCATGGAGGGAGGGGGGTCCCAGGTTGCAGCCCCTGTCGGATTCTGCAACTCTGACCAGAGAGGGGGTGAAACTGAAGTGACAGGCCCTCTGAGCAGAGCTGCCTTGCTCCCTGGCCTTTCGGGAGAGGTCCACCGATCGATGGCATTCGCCTGTGTCTCCGTGGATCGGTCACGGGCTCCTATGGGCGGAAGGAGGATGTGTGCGCCTTGGCGGGGGCTAGTCGAAGATCCTGCACGTGGGATAAGCCCGCTGCCACTCGTCGGCCCCTCGGACAGAGTGGCGCTGTACATCTGTACACAGGCTGTACTTCTTTCAGAAGGAGACAGCCTTCTCTCTCTCCTTCAGAGGCTGGTGGATTCGAATCACCAGCCTTTGGAGCAGTTTCACCTGCTGCTCCACCAGAAAGGACTCCCGCGTTTGTGATAGACCCTGGATTTCACGCCTTAGCACTCCGAGAGGACTACCTTATCCACATCTCCACTTTTTTCCTTTACATCTCCTTTTGAAACGATCATGTTTTTTAGCCGAAACCCCTACCCCCTTTGTGTTGAGTTCAGTCCCGCCTCACGGTCCCTGCCCGGGAAGTCCTGGAACGCACAGACAGGGTCTCTTCAGAGCCTCCACTTCCCTGTTCACTGGGGCGACAGCGCACAGGTGCTGACCAGCAGTAAGGGAGTGCGTGCTGCCGACATACTTGGGTGCTACGTGTCCCGTACTTGACAAAAACGGGGGTGGCTACTAGACAACCTTAAATCACGTCAGCAGCACAAGTTAGGTTTCCGCTGGCCAGCCCGGGGCACTCTACCTGAGACGCTGGGGCATTTCAGGAAACTTGAGTGAGTACTTTCTAGAAAAATCCAGATTGGACCGAGTGTTGTGTGTGCTCCGAACCGAGCGACATCCCCCAGTTCTTGGGTATGTGGCAGTCCCAGCAAGTGGCCCGTGTGTCCTGACTTGGGGCCTGTGCCATCCATCTGCTTTCTGCTCCTGAAAGGAGGCTGCCTGCTGTGAGCCCAGTGGTTCCGCTGCCTCCCGGCCTCTCCTTCCACGTCCTCCCATCATCCTCTCTGCCCGCTGAGGATCCTGGTGCTGGGCTGGGGGCCGCCCCTCCCTGCAGAGGGCTCGTCATCCCCAGAGCTAAATGAAGCCACACAGGATGCAGCGTCCCCAGAACACGCTTCATTAATTACAGGCCCGGCCGCGTCCCGGATCCCTGGGGACCTGAGTAAGAACTTCCTGTCACCTCCGCAAGGAACGGAGAGAACAGGGCTGTTATCCCAGTGGGGCTGCACAGAGAAAGGCAGAGAACGCTCAGAGCTTGGCCACACGCCGAGGTACCCATTCGCATGTCAGGCAAAGCTGTCCGTATATTTAGAGCCGCGTTGGCTGGTCCTGTACTGTGACACTTGAGTTCAAAATAGCAGGCTGCACCCAGCTGCCTTTTAGTCCATTGTCAGGGTGGTTTTGAGCTTGCATAACACGTTGAAGCCCCCGGCGCCGGAGGTAAAAACCCAGCACAGCCTTTTCCTCTCGTTAATTGGTGACACAGAGGCGCCCCGGAGCATGGCAGCAGGCTGCAAATACCACTTGTTCTCAGAGACCTCTTCTCCCACGTGCTCTCCCATGGTGTGTCCTTCCTCCCTGGGGCTCCCGAGGACAGGCCGGAGGAGGGAACCCCACCCCGCGTTCACCACGCTCAACTTTGTGCTGGACACTTCTCTGGGAGGCTGGACTGGTTTGCTGCTGCTCATTCTGAGGCGCACACCAGCTCCGTGTGTCTCCTGAGCCTTCTGCTTGGTGGCAGCATAGCATTGGAGAGCCATGCCCTGCCCCTCGAGATCTCTCATCCCTACCCATGGGGCTTCCCCAGTGAGTGCGGCCTGCCTGGGACAAACAGCCCGTTGATGGGTAGGGGCTGAGAGCCTCGCCCGTTGTCCTCTTCATTGCCTCTAATACAAAGACGCTCCCCTTGTGCCTGTCTGCGATGTGAGGACGGGGCCTAGGCAGACAGACTGGCAGGAGGGGAAACCCCACACGTGCCCCTTGCCAAGCGTCTGTGTGCACACCCAGGAGGTTGGGAGATCAAAGACAAACCTCAAAGGGTGAAGTGAGGGTCTGGGTGTGGAGTGTAGGGAAGGCTCAGGGACCCTACAGTGAGAGGCCACCTGGGGAAGCAGGGGGCTTGGTTTGATTCTGCCCAAAACATCCACTGTTCTCCACCCTTTCTGGGCTGGAGCCCCTTCCTGCCCTGGGTGTGGAAAAAGAGCGTCAGTGCCCATGAATCACAAACGCTTACACCTCCAGCAGCATCTCGCCTGGGCACCTCCTGGTGCCTTGCCTTTCTGTTGTCTTGGTGCCCGAGAGCTTCAGAGGCTACAGCTCGTGGCTGAGCTGAGGGCCCAGCAAGGCCACGGAGAGCAGAGCAGGGGGAGGGCTGTTGTGGCTGTTGGGTGTTGTCTGCTAAGTCCCAACTCACAGCAACCCTGCGTACCACCGAAGTAAACGGCCCGGTCCTGCGCCATCCTCAATGGGGCCCTTAGTCTGGAGCCCTGTGTCACACTCTCTGTGGAGGTCAGCAGAATACCGAACTGTCCGTTTCATCGTTGTCTGCTGCCAGCTACCGGGTCCCCTCAACGGTGACCCCTCGTTCGACAGAGGAAACTCTGCCTGCCGGCGCCATCCCCATGATTGTTACAGGGCAGGTTGGTGTCAACTCTAGCGTTTCCAAGCCTTCTCCTCCAGAAGGGGAGACCGCCTGGCCTTTCCTCCTCGCCCCTCCTGTTCTAGACTGTCTACCGAAACCTGTTGAGCCCGCGCCTGCCGTGCGCTTGCACACAGCCTCTGTGCTTTTCACAAGGCGAAGGTGCACAGCACACCTGCATCGAGCAGGCTGGTCGGCAGCCCTTTCCCAAACGCCTGTGTTCACTCCACTCCGCCTCTGTACCACTTCTGTAAGTCTCTCCATGTCTCACGTGTGATAATAGTGTGAGTGCACCCTTACTGGTCTGCCACAGCCACGCCCACTGCCATCAAGGCAATTGCAGCTCACAGCAGCAACATACGGCCTCCCCTTCCTCCTGCAGGGCAGCTGGTGGGTTGGAATCCCCAACCCCGCTTCCCGGACAGGGCCGGCTGGGGAACCTCTTTAGTGGATTTCCGTGTGGGGTCGACACAGCTCCCGTCTCCCTCCCAACACGTCCTCGTGACTCTTCATTGCGACTTTGCTGCATTGCTGTGGTCTGTCGCTGAGTGCTTGCTCCAAGGCCTGCTCTGGCCAGTACAGCACTTGGGGTTGACATCCTTGGTCCCCATGTCAGGAGGACCTGATCTCTGGTTCTAGCCCTGCCTCTGGCAACTCTGCAGCCCCTGGTCGCCCGTGTAACGGTTATGTGTTGGGCTGCTAATTGCAAGGTCAGCAGCTTGAAGCCACTTTCTACTCCTTGGGGAAAAGGGGCTTTCTACTCCCATACAGAATCACAGTCTCAGAAATCCACAGGAGCAGTTCATGCCCTACAGGGTGCTATGAGTCGGAATCAACTCAATGGTAGTGAATTACGGTGTTTGGGTTTTGGGGGGTGATTTTTGGCCTGAGGCGGATGGGGGTGGTGACCCCTGAGGTCTGGCCAGCTCAGATGTCCTGGGCTTCCTTTCTTGCAAGGCTGTTCTGATGAAAGGCCACTTCACAGTGTCCCCACCGCCCCCGCCAATCCACAACTGAGGTGGTGGGGGTCTTCGTGTTCTGCTTCAAGAAAGCGCCCTCTTAAAGAAATTAGCCTTACCTTCGCGAAAGCTCGTTCCTAGCCACCAGATGGACTGTTGGCTTGTTTTTCCCCTTTGTCTCTCACGGAGGGTGTACCGCTCAGGACTTCTTTTGGCAGAGTTAAAGGCATGATTGATTGGCCATGAATTATTTTGAGGAAAATGACAGAACACAAATCCTGAGAAATAGGGTCTTGCCTCTCAGTAACTTAAGCCTATGGCCCCCGGGGATTTGCCTCATCAGCCCCCCCACCCCCCCACCCCAGACCTCTGACTGCAAACAGGGCCCAAAGGAACCCTCCAACCTCTTCAGCTTAGGGCAGCACCAGGCTGGCTGTTGTCATCAAGGCAGACACCAGAATCGTCCATGACAGACGCAGGGATCCAACCAGAAGCCAGGCCCGCTTCAGGGTGGCATGGCAAATGTTCTCAGAAGCGACAGGCCCGTCTTCTAGCCCGTTGCCCAACCCAAGCACACCCCCACCATCCGTCCGCCCACAGCTTCCTGCAGAACACATGAGGGGAGGTGGAGACGTGTGCTGGGCTGGTTTTGAGTTAGCCTGGAGAACAGCTTTTCTTTGCTCTGAAAAGCTGCTTCTGTAGATCTCTGTGGGAGAGAGCCCGACCCGGACTGCAGCGGGTTCTGTGGGACCGAGGGGCGCCAGGCCCCCGCGCCCCCGCCCGGGCCTGTGCCGGAGGAGCATTGCTTCTCCAAGGCCTATAATTATGGGCCACCGTGGTGGCCATTACCCTGGTGAATGCTTCTCGGCTGAGGTAGCCTCGTGTTCCAACTGAACAGCAAAGTGTTCATTAAAGCAGGAGAAAACCCA